CAATTTGTTTTTGATATCCTCGGGTATTCGGGCATGGGCCTGGCCAACCTGCATTCGGAAATCCGGGGATATCATAATATTTCTTTGAGTTCCATGAGTTTAGATTGTATATACACGCATATGTGTGTGTGTGTGTGTGTATTTAGAATTCTATATTTGATTTAAAGAGGCTTTAAAATGGCAATTTAATGATATAATCATTGATGTTATGCCTAATATGTTTATTAGATTTGTTATTGTGATATTAGAAGGTAGCTAAGGTGCTTATTTGATTTTGCAAATTTCGCATGTGTATAATTGTTCTGTTCACTTTTGAGGCTATATGGATAATATGGTGTATTGGTGTTTGTAATGATCCTGATTTTTCCCATTTTTCATTTTCTGGGATTTTTTTAATTTTTTGGGGTTATTTCTATCTTGTCTCGTTTTGCGTGTCGGACACCGTGGGGTGTGCCGGGTGTGTTTGGGAGTTGGTTGAAGCATTTCCTTGATTTCAGGACTCTTGGGAATATATGGGTTGCCATTTGGCATTTTTCTATTTTTTGGGTTGGGAGGTCCAAGATGTGACCCACTACCGGAGTTGTTGAGCACAGGGATTGTTTTTCGGGTCCATTACATTTCATGCATGGTTATTTAATGCATTTTATGTGGTTACATAGTTGATTGTGTGGTTGTAATTTAATTAGAATATATATATTTAAATTAAAGGTAAGATTTTTATTAAAGCTAATGGGACCCACCTCCATTATATCTTATGTAATGGCCGAAGGGTCATTAATAGACCCTTAGATTCTCTCATTTCTACTGTATCCTCTCTCCCTCTGTATTTTAATTTTTTTTTCTTTTCTTTTTTTCAACTTCAAACTTTGATCTCTCTTTCATTATTGAGAATTTGATCTTGCCATAAAAGATAAAGTTGATGAGCTCGTCGAGACCTTCGTTTTGATCGGAGCAATTTCTAGTTTGGAGCACTTTTGAAAATTTTAAATTTTGGGTGTAATTTGGGGCTTTTCATCTCTTTTGAGGTAGGGGTGTTCTAATACCAATTATTTGAGCTTTGTGAGTTAATCTCCTTTAATTGATATACAAGCATGTTTATATTGTGTTAAATTCTTGAGATATGATCTATATATTGTATACATGATTTTTATATGGTGTAGAAAGTATATGATTATGTGTTAGCTTCTTTATTGAGATCATGCATGCTTAAATGAATTTATTTTATGCCTTATGTATTTAAGATGTTGGATTTATGAATTAAAAGTATGTAAAATGTCATGATTTAGAAATATGAGAGTGTGATATTGTGTGAAAATTCATGTTTTAAACATGCTTGAATGATGTTGATGATATGTATAAAATTTCTATATTGTCATGGCATTAAAGGAATGACATAATTCATACATTACCATTAGGAAAGAAAAAGGGAAAGGTGTTTTCAAAAGCAAATGAAATTGTTTTGGGAAAATGTTTTAAAAATATTTGCAAAAACCTGGACGTCTAGGAGTCGCCTAATGGTCCGTGGCGTTAGTGTGGTCTAGAGGGGACTAAGGAGAGACCCTAGCATGGTTGAGCTACCTAGGCCCTTTAACGACGCCTTGGAGTTGCCATGTGGTTGGGGATAGTTAGCCAATCCTCTTCTCGTGACGCCATGGATTCGCCATGGGTTGGATTACACTAATGGCTTGGAATGGTGAAACGGTATTGTTTCAAAAACGGGGAACGACATTTCATGACATTGCACTTCATAGGCGTATGTTGTATACTTGGTGGTCGGATGACTTATATACATTCTTGTTGTTGTATTATTGCTTTGCTTGTTTTCCCGAGGCATGATTCTATTTACTTGTACTCTATTCTTTGTGTGGATTCATGGGGTCATAAGAGGTGTATCTTAGATACTTCCTACTGAGCGGTTGGCTCACTCCATTACTTTAATATTTTCAGGAACCGAGAAAGAGGTGGCGGACAATGATTCATAGCAAGTTTAGACGAGATTGGAGATCTATATTTTGCTATCTTTTGCATTAGAACTTTAATATTTTGTAAATGTAATCTTGACTATTTTGTAAAACTTTAATATAATTTGTATAATGTTGTAAATTATGGACTTTTGATTTCAGTTGTATTTCATGGACTATAACTTGATGTAATTAAAGTGCATTCCTTGTAAAGGATTATGGGACTAGGTAGTGAAGTGGTGTTTCCATGTTTTGAATGAATTGGAGGAACGGGACTCTTTTTATACGTATGTTGTTGATTTTGGGAATGTTGTATATTATTTGTATTGTGTGTTAGGACATGATAGATTAGTTTTAAGGCTAAGTGAGGCCATTGCATTTTATATGCATTTCAGCAGGTTTTAGTAGGACCCTTTTTTTTGGTAGAGATTATGCCGATTTTTTTTTTTTTTTTTTTTTTTTTTTTTTTTTTTTTTTTTTTTGGTACCGTTGACCGGTATCATTTTGGGTCATTACAGTGTTATACTAAATTTTGAGGTTATGTGGAAGATGTTATGAGCTTACTTTTGGGAGTATGACTGTGTAGATATCAAAGTTATATTGGAATTGATAAAATGCTTTCATAATTACATAGAGTTAATTATGATCATATATTAATTTATATATTGTCATTGCATTAATGAGGGTGCGATGATAGGATTGGACTTTAGGACATCATTCGTGTGGAAAGCATGAGCTTATGTGCACTTATGAAGTGAAATTTGATTATATATTGATATATGCGTACCTTGTGGTATTGAATGATGATTTTGGGATATACTCAGGACCTTTTGCTACTTGGGATTTTTAAGACTTGGCGCTAGCAGGCAAAACTATAGTTTTCCCAACTTTATAAAGGTCATTAGGTTTGTTCCCTGTGGTTTAGTAAACCAAGAATAAGTATTTTACCGATGCATGTAGTAGGTATGTCCGGGGGTGTGGGTATATTCAAGATATTCCCTTTTGTTGATTTTGAATCTTATTTTAATAAGTTGGTATCCATGTGTAGTTGCGACTTGGTTTATCGTTTATGTTTCCATTTCCTGGTTTCGTTTCAAGTTGGCATTTATGTGTAGTTGTGACTTGATTATTTGTTGTATTTCTTTTGATATGTATATGCTTACTAAAAATGAAATGGATGTTGTATATTTATATTGAGATTCATATAATGAAATGAATATGCCTATGTTCAATTGGTAGTTAGGATATGTCTATAGGATTTTCCCAAAATTAGATGTCAGGGAGTATGTCCCTTTGCATTGTTTGACGAGGACTACTCTTGTGAAGCCAAATGAATTTAGCATGTGTATGTACCTAGCATATTTCATACTAAGCATTATAAGCTCACCCCTCATTGATTCCTTCTTTAGGTTAACGCAAGGTTATTGAGGATGACGCATCTCTTATTTATTTTAGATAACGTAGTTTGATGTAAATGTACAGTTGTTTCCATGTTGTATGGTTTATTTTGGATAAAGGATATATAATGGGGCCATCTAGACCAATGTCATGCTGTAATTACTATTATGTGCGTATGTATGTTTTCCTTGGCATTGTATCATTTTCACACATAATGTATTGTAATGACCCAAATTTGGGGGATCCGGATAGCTAACCGAGTCGTAACCCAACCCGAGGACACCAAGGGTAAAATGGTCATCAAGAGCCTTACAATGCATTAGGGGTCGTAATGAAGTCATACTAGCCATTTCTAACCACATCTTTTCGTTAATGAGTGAAGATTCCAACCTCAGTTTCATGCCGGACCTCCTAGGATTTACATGGTTAAAACAATTATTTTACGCTATGAAGTTCACAATTAGACGCGGTCCTATCATTCTAATCATTGTGGTGGAAGTCAAATAGGACCATCACATTCAAGATCCAGGCCATAGGAGAAGTCCCCAAAAATAGTCCCTAAACCCTAATACCGAGCGCCTTGGTGCCCTTTGAGCGCTCGGAGGGTGCCCTAAGCACCCCTGTGTGCGCGCAGAGCCCTGTTGATGAGCGTTAGAACTTGATCAAAATACTTGCCAAAAAAGAGCTTTAACAACTCACTACAATGATACTACTGTTTAAGCATTACAACACTTACAAATTGAGCACACTATAACATCATATAAGCACACTAGAGAGATTTTGGAAAATCCTTCACTTTCTTCATTGATATTTTAATCTTTCATGAAATAGTTATGATTTTGTTAGAGATCTTTCATACAACTTTATGATTGATCTGAGAGCATAGAGCTTCATTGATTTTGCATGTCAATCGGAAATTTATTCAATTTGGATTTTACTTCAAAGGAGCATTGGATCACTATGAGGAGAGCAGATTGTTTGTGGAGCAATTGTGTTTGATTTCAGTACCTCATTTGTAAGATTGTTGAAGTGAACCTGAGGTCTGTGGCCATTGGGCTCGTGCGTGTGAGATTGTCAACAACTAGCTCTTTGCAAAGGTAATCTGTCATAAGTCAGTGTAACTTCTCTTTCGTATAGTAGATTTCTTTATTTTAGACTAAGGTCCTGTGGTTCTCTCTCTCTTAGGTTTTTAGTGTAAAAAATATGGTGTTTCTGTTTCTATCTTACTCTACTTTATTTCCTTTAATTCATGTGTGTGATTGACCGATTGGTTAAGTGGACTAAATTATCAACTTGGTGATAATCAGAGTTAAAATCAATTAATAGAGCAGGTTCACCTATTCACCCCATCTAGGTGTAATAAGCTTCTACCAGCATCACTCTCAAAAAGTGTCAAAACTTTGCATCTGGTATCATTATTTCCTTCAAAACAGAGCAGTTGAGAGTTATCAAGAAATAACTCTCCACAGCATGAGTATAATATATAATGTTCCATTTTTAAATATTTTTGAAACATTTTCAATTTTGAAGTGATTGGAGTGACACATCGAAGAAATTTTGATCCTTTCTAAGAGAGGAGAACAGAATATTCAAATTGAAATCCTATTTAAAAAATAACAAGAAAATCCAACGTTTCTTGCTATAGCATTCTCTTCAATAATGTCAGTTCTAGAAAAACATTCTATGCAATATCTAGTTAGTTATATTTATCTTTTTCTTTTTTCTGCAATATATAAAGGACCCCTTTTAATGTTATGTTACAAAAGCTATGGCTTTATCTCGCATGTATTGCAGAATTAGAAACCCCATTTACTGAATACTTTTCCGACTTTCTTTTGTGCAAATCTTCCTCAACCACCCCGCTTCCAGTTAAAAATGCTGGTTTCTTGGGCATTGGCAAAGCCACACCATCATTTGTTAACATGGAAACAACTTCCAACATAGTTGGCCTATCGATTGCACGATCTTCTACACATAAGAGACCGACATGGATGCATCTAATTAGCAACCGTTGTTCAATACATGAACCCCTTAGAGTTGGATCCACAAGCTCTAGAGCATCATCATTGTTCCACAATTCCCACGCCTGTGAGTGTACACTTGTAAAGTTAAAATGTTGGAAACAAACACATTAGTATATAGCAATGTAAAAAATATAATCAAGTCCACATTTCGTATCACTTACAAATCCTATTAGGTTAAGTGGACCTTCAATGTGATTGAAACTGCTGTTCTTTCGGCCACTCAAGATTTCAAGTATTAGTACTCCAAAGCTAAAGACATCAGATTTAACAGAGAATATTCCCTTTATGACATACTCAGGAGCCATGTAACCACTACCAACAACATAGAAAAATAGTGTAAGTACATTATGAGAAATAAACTTGAGAGAATTAAACTTTATACACATCAAAACATGATTAAATAAATTAATTCTATACTTACTACGTCCCAACAACTCTATTTGTAGCAGCTTCTAATACACTCTGCTTGTAAATTTTGGCCATACCAAAATCAGAAATTTTGGGATTCATGTTTTCATCGAGTAATATGTTACTAACTTTCAAATCTCTATGTATTATCTTCAATCTTGAAACCTTGTGAAGGTAAAGTAGCCCTTGAGCGATTCCTTCAATAATGCTGAGGCGTCTTTCCCATGTTAATTGCTCCTTCTTAGTTGTATCTGTCTCATAATGAAGTGCAAAATATGAAATTTTTTGGGCAAAGAAAAAAAATTTATTAGCCAGTTGCACTTGAAAATGAAGCAAATAATGCATTTGGAAAAAAAGGGATTGCTTAACAAAGAGAAAGAAGTCCAAACTTTTGTTAGGCATGTATTCATATACCAGCATTTTCTCATCTCCTTGAATGCAGCAACCTAGAAGTCGCACCAGATTCATGTGTTGGAGTTTGGGTACGAGTATGAGCTCATTTTTGAACTCCACCAATCCTTGTCCCGAGCTTCTTGAGAGTCGCTTTATAGCTACTTCGTGTCCTTCAGGCAATTTTCCCTGGAATATATAAAAGTTCATTACCATGTAACTCATCTCTAGATCTAGGCTAACAGGGTATATATATAATATAAGCCCAATTCACAAGGCTCCCACCATTACAGAGTTTAGAGAGCTAGATGTACATAACCTCACTTCTACATGCGAAGTTCTAGGCTAACAGAGTAATGCTATGAAATAAAAAACTTGAACCCCATAAAAACCAACGTGTCATGTTTACTCCTATTTGTGTGTGTATATATAAATGAAAATTGAAATCCATTGATTGCATAATTGAAATTTTTATTTATGCGAGAAGTTGACAAGAGAAACCATTTCTTTTCGATAATGTACCTTGTAAACAGGTCCAAAACCACCCTCTCCGAGCTTACGTTCTGATGAGAATGAACTTGTAGCATCCACGATACACGAAAACCTAAATACCTTGAGGTCGTAACCCTTGTTCCCATCATGTTCAAGTTCATCCATGTTCATATATCCATTTGGTGTCATAAGTTCAAGTAGAACTCTCTCCTCATTTTTCCCTATTTTGGTAACATACAAAAATAAACTTGTAATTCCATAAAAATATGGAGATTAATGAAAAGAATTACAATATAACAAATCTTTTAGTTGTTACCGATATACCTTGTAGTTTAATTCTTCTTCTTCTTAAAAAGAAAAAGAGGCTGAAAAGAAGCATAAATAATGAAACTACTACAGCACTGACAATCCATATCCATTTCTTCTCTCCTGCATTCAGTTGCAATAAATGTAAAGTAGAATTCCCAAATAAAACAATGGTTTCTAGACCAGTGAGAAATGTTCAATTGCAAAATTTTAAACCAGATAAGAAATGAATGAGTTTATTTAGAGACAATCTTAACTGGGCTACACTAATGAAGTTTAACCGAAATTATGAATGGAGAAAAATATAATGTCTATTTTAGATAAAACCATAAAATCAAAACAACAAAGTGTCCGACATGATGGATATTGAGAAGTATTTTTGTATTCAATGATCATTTTGTGTGCACGGTTGTGTTTGGTGAGACTAAGGTGCTGTTTGATGAAACTGAAAATTAAGCACCGAAAATTTTAAATACTGAGTTTTAAGTGCTGAAATTTTAAGTGTGGAATGTATTAATCTGAAACCTTGTTGGATATTGTCTTATTTTAGGGCGTTGAATTTATTAAAATTAATTGTTAAATGCAAGAGCTGAAATTTCAATGTTGTAAATGTTTATTCCATTATTTTGCCCAATGGAAAGAAGACAAGTGGCGAGTTTTGGCAAGCTTGCCATATTGATTTAGTATTCCAATAATCCAAGAATATGTGGATGTGACGTGGAATTGTTAAGGTGGATTATTAATAGAAAGAAGTAACATGGCAAGTTTTAATGGAACTTGCCATGTTAGAGTAAGATATTAATAAATATTCCTTTGGAATATTAATTCTACTGGAAATTAAAAGGAGTGGTGAGTCCCGCTAGGACTTACCAAACTTAGGATATAAAGTCCTAAAAGAACGACAAGATTGCATGGAGATATTACCATGAGTACAACTTCATGAGAAGGCTAAAGTCAAAGATTCAAACAACCAATAATTTATTGACACATGACGAGTTTTATTAGACTTGCCACGGTAGATTAATTCTATTTGAATTTATTTGGAAGATCCTATTAATATAGGATACCAATTAAATGGGAATTTTCCATTTTTAGAACAAAGTTGACCAAGTCACAAGAGGGAATGTGGAGGCAATATTTTCTCCTTATTTTTAGAGACATCAGCAACTACTCAAGCCAGGTCAACCATGACGCCATGATGTCTTGAATTCTAATGAGGCGAGATTGAAGAGAGATTGCTAGAATTTGGGAAGTGCATCACAACCATGACGCCATGAAGCAAATATGGAGGTTTTAAGCTGAAGTCAAGGAAAGCGTGGTCTGTTGAAGGAAAGAAAATAGGTTGGATAAACTACCTATGATGAAGAAGTTGCTAAGGTTAAGGAAATCATGGCGACATGAACTCCAAAGCCTAGAAGGAAAGTCTCAAGATGGAAGTTACTAAAATCCAAGGGAATGTGGTTGGCAGAAGATCGTGGGCAATGATGTATATTCCTGGATATAGATATATATATATATCTTGCCTATGAAGAGAAATATCGCTAAAGTTTTGGGGCCACGACATCATGATACAAAGACCAGAACGGAAAGCTCAACTAGAAGGAAGTTACCCAAAGCTAGGAGAACGTGGTCTACAAAAAACTTCCTTATATGTGCATGATATATATTCGTAAGGAGGGTTCTAACAGAAGTGAAAGACTACTAGAAGTCATGGGACACTTGGCTAAACAGGAATATATCGGTTGAAAGTGGTGGAAATCTATAAGGAAACTACCACTAACCAAGGGAAGTTATCAAGAATCATGAATAATATGGCAACAGTTGGTGAAATTATGTCTTAAATTAAGGAAAAGAGTTGACGACATAGGGAAGAAGGACAAAGACATGGGACACTTGTTGAATGACAAAGAGAACACGTGGGAATTCATTCTGAAACTACCTATGACGTAAATTCGTTGAAGACTAGAGAGGACGTGGTTGAAGTCTACAACAGAAGATGGATAAGATAGAAGAAGTTACAATCGCTGAGGAATCATGGGACATGTGGCAGTTTGGAACCATTTCACGTGGAAGCTGCTGAAGTTGCCACACCTAGTTAATGCATGCATGGAGCTCTATAAATAGAACACTTAGAGCTAGTTTGCAAACCCTATTCAAATCACACAGCAAAACAACACTTTAATATCTTTACATTCATGTATCTTTACATTCATGTAATGCACCTTCAATATGTTTAATTCAAGTCCTGCACTTATTATTCCTACTTTCCAGCACTTTACTTTGAAGTCCTGCACTTTCAATACCGCTTTCCTTTCCACTAACCATAGTTCAGTCCAAAAGTCCTTTTTCAAGGCAAAAAGAACCCTTGAAGGTGGTAATTCCAGTCCTTCATTCAATCGCCTGATCCCTTCAATTTCCTACTGGATAGTTCTTTGGATATCCACTTTGGAACGACAGCAGTTCTTGGCACGCCTGACATCCACTCCTACTTTCCACTCACCTGGAAAGTGGAACTAGCGCTTTTTTGCGAGCCGAACATTCTTGGTATGGTCAGCGGGACATCTAGACAGACTGTTCAATGGCCGGTGGAAGAAGGCAAGGCAAGTCCGTCCAAGACCCTGCCGAACTAGAAGAGATGCAAGCCAGTGAACTTCCAGTGGAAAGTTCACGATTTGCACTTGATGAAAATAATATGGTGGAAAATTTTGTTCAAAAAATGGCAAATGGACCCATCATGGACAACATCCGCATGATGGCAATGCAACAAGATAGGTTTGCGCAAGACCAAGCTAGAGTCGCCCAAGACTTAGCCAGAGTTGCGCAAGATCAATCTAAGGCTAGTCAAGACCATGCAAAAGACGCTCTTGCTAATGAGTGGAAATTAGAAGAGATGGTGGACCGAATCTCTAAAAGGTTCGAGTCTATGTTGGAAAGGTCCTTTGGAGGTCTGTCTCAAATTTTGGCCCCTTGACCAAGCAACTCTGAAGGATCTCAGCAGTCGGCCTTCCAAGCTAGTAGGCCGGCCACGTTTGTTGAAGGAAGTTCCTCTCAGCAACACGCAGGGCCATTCCCTCCAACTCAGCAGCAGGTGCAGTCCCTTCAAATGGCACAAAATCACATTCCAACTGCACCTGTGACTGCTCCTATGGCACAGATGACTGTTCCACAAGCTACGCTAATGCCAACCATCTAGCAAGTTCAGAATCCTCCACCTGTGGCATTTCCACAGTAGACTTGGCATGATCAGCCTGGCCAACCGTGGCTATACCACAACCCTCAAGCACAACAGAATGTTCCACCTATGAACATTCAGCCAGCAGCACCTATTTCAGCAAGGCCACCACCTATGGTCATTCCAATAGCGGTTGGGGGGTAACCTTTTCCAAGGGAGCTACTTCTTGACCAACGAGGAAAGAACCATGGTAGGAACAACTATGCAGATGCCAACCCCTTGTTTATGGCGGGTGGGGGGCATCAGGTGGCTAATTAACCTCAAGGTTGGCCAGACAACAACCCTCCACAACCTATGGCACTTGACAGAGGCCAATTTGTAGAATTCCTTCAGCAAGAATTTGGCCTAACTTGAAGGGGTGGAAGGCTAACTTACAGAAAGCCTTATCCAGAGTTCATTGATGAAGTTGAATTTCTAAGGAATTTCAGAATTCTAGAGTTTGCAACATTCAATGGAGAGGGCGAACAGTCTACCTTGGAACATATCAGTCGGTTCACTGTCCAATGTGGAGAAGCAACAGCCAATTCATGGCTGAAAGCACGCTTGTTTCCAAACACACTGACGGGATATGCTTTCAGGTGGTATTCCAACTTGCCAGCCAACTCTATTCAAAGTTGGCAGCAATTTGAGGATATATTCCATACTCAGTTCTATAGAGTTGAGCTTGAAGTGTCCATGGCAGACCTTTCCAGACTTCATCAATTACCTGGAGAGTCTGTGATGAGCTTCCTTTCCAGATTCAGGCAGGCCAAGTTCAAATGTAATTTGTCTTTGCTGCCGAAAGAATATGTGAAGATGGCTGTGAACGGCCTAGAATTTGAACTTCGCAAGAAGTTTGAAGGTGTACAGTTCCATGACTTATTCGATTTAGCTGGCAGAGTGGCTAAGTATGAAGAGCTCCTTCGTGAGAAGCAAGATAGGAAGAACTCTTCCAAGGGCACCTACTATCGTGATCCTAACTATGAGGTGTATACCACTGAAACTGAAGGGGAGTTTGAAGTAAATGTAGCTGAGCTCAACATAAAGAAGGCATATACTTGTGAGGCCTTGACAAAACCAAAATCAACCACGGCCAATTTGTAGCCCGCCTCTGGTTCCAAGTGGAAGGGGGCAGACTTTTCCAGAAGTTACTCTTTCGACATTTCTAAAGCCGAGCAAATCTTTGATTTGCTCATGGCTTATAAACAATTGATTTTCATAGCGGGCCATAAGATGTCATCGGCTTCAGAAATGGCCAAGAAGGAGTATTACAAGTTCCACAATTCGTGGAAGCATTCCACTAATAATTGTGTTATCTTCCGAAATATTGTGTAAAAGGCAATCGAATATGGCCGTTTGAAGTTTCCAGAAAAATCAGAAGTTATGGGTGTTGATGGAAATCCTTTCCCCAAGGTTGTTGCAACAAACATTGCTTCCATGGTTCTGGAGCATTCTAAAAAGGAGGTGGATTTGGTAAATCCAGCGACGAGTGGAAGGTTGGAAATTCCAAAGGCGGCAACATCTATGGAGAAGACAGTAGCTGAGTTGGAGAGGCAACTCCGAGAGGCCCAGATTGCTTTAATCCAACAAGGTTGTTGCCCCAAGTGTAAATTTCAGAATGAAGGTTTCCGTAAAGACTTTCCAAAAGAGAAGGAAAATGAAAAGCCCTCCAATAGTGACCGGGGTCAGAAAAGGAAAGTCCATGACCGACTAACTTTCCAAAAAGTGGAAAACATAGTTACTGTAACCATTCCAGAGAAGGAAAGCTGGGTTCATCCAGAAAGAAAGGCAGCAGAGAGGAAATCTGAAATCCTTCCAAAGAATTTGGAAAGGAATAAAATTTCTTATCAACTAGGTTATCATCCTCCTAGTAGAAAGTTTGAAAGGAGTAGATGGCAAGACAGAG